TCTCTCTCTCTCTCTCTCTCTCTCTCTCTCTCTCTCTCTCTCTCTCTCTCTCTCTCTGTCTCTCTGTATGTTGTGTCTTTTTCTGAAACCTTTATCCAAAGTCCCAATTCTCTAGGTTTGACCAAAAGTCAAACCAGCAATAGTTTGACTTTGCAAAAGATTAAAAATGTCACAACAAAATGGGATTGATTCAAATCACATTGTGACTTCAATGTGTTCTTCCTGCACTCTGCCTGACAACACACTACTTCCAGCCTCCTTGTCCCACACTCCCCTAACTTGTCCCCCCTCTGTCTGAGTCTCTTATGCCCAATCCCTTCACTCTTTCTTTAAGGAAGTTGTATAGTAATGGTTTCCAAGAGAGGCCCAACCAAACCCAGAAATAACCAAAAACAAAAACCAGTGGGTTTGGCTAGAGGTAAGCCATTGTGATTCCTCTGAAAGGGGCAAGCTCTTGTTCCTTGGTCTTCATCCTTGAGTGAGCAAGAATAAAAGTAATCATCCCCATGAAATCAAAGGTTTTCTCCAGGGGCTTGAGGCATAAAGCTTATGGCTGGTGCTTTGGGTCTGTCCCCATGGCTCTGCAGGGCTGGAACTAGTAGCTTCCAGGCACTCCAGCTACCCTGCCAAAAGGGCAGTAATACAGAGCTCACTTGTGCTTCCAAGCATTGTTAAACAAAGACAGCCCCATGTTTAGTGGGGCCCTCTCTGGTCTAAGCTGCTAGATGCCAGGAAAAGAAGGTTGAGGAGCTGCTATGAAAGGTGTGAAGTTCATAGGAAGCTGACATGGATGTCTGGATGGAGTCACGTGCCAAGAGAAGGGCAGATATGGGGCATGTAGTAGGAGCTCAATCAATATTTGCAGAATGATTAAATGAACTGCCTAACAGCGATGAGTCTCTTAAAATTCTGCATCAGCTCCTCTGCAAATCTCTTGTTTCTGCCCTCAGTCCCCTCCCGTATCATCAGAGACAAGAAAGGAATTGAACACCCACCCAGAAATCTGGGGCATAATCTACACACATTGTAAGGATTGTCAGAAGGAGCAATTGCCTTACCTTGGCCTAGAAATTATACCCTGTGATCCATCTAGCAGCAGGAGACAATGTCTAACTTGCTTGATTAGGAAGTTAACTCTTCCTTCAGACCCAACTAAATTCAGACCCCAAATCCAGGGCTCAGATTCAGAACTAGCCTAATGGGGTTCTGCTCCTTTCACATGGATAAGGTCCAAGTCTGAGCTGACTTGGACTTCATCCTCTTTTAGTTATTCAGAGTATGGCTTCTAGAGCCAAACTCTAGATTTGCCTACCTGTATGACTTTTGACACGTTGCTCAGGCTCTCAGGGTCAATTTCATTATCTGTAATATTTTTAAGATAAATATATTGAAAGTTCATATCTCATTGCAGTGGTGGCACTCTGGAGGCTGAACCAGGAGCACTGTCATCATGAGTTCAATGCCAACGTAGTCTAATAGGAAGACTCTGTCTCCAAAAAAGAACAAAAATGCAACTCTTAGGGTTGAGATGGAGTTTTAGAGAGTTAGTATACTCAAGGCACTCTGTACAGTGCTGGGGACATAGTGGGTGCTCAATTACTCTAGTTGTATTACTCTATTTTCTCTTTCTCCCTTTCAAAGAGTCACAGCTACTTCAAGCTAAAAGCCAAAATACCCAGGCATATCATGAAAAACATTAATCCCAGGACTTTGCTTAAACCCCAAGATAATTGTCTTTTTTAGGGCAAATGGAAGTGGGATCTCTAATTCTACCCTATTTTCAATCTTGGGGCTCTGTGTCCTACAGCAACCTATGATTGGTAGTCAGTCAGAGTCCTTCTAATAAATTTGGAGTGCTATTTCTCACCCTTTCAAAAATATTCTTTAATAAAATGTAATAATTATCCATATTCATAGAACACAGTGTGCTATTTCTACATATGTATATATATATATACTGTACAATGACTAGATCAGAATAATTTGTAAATATTTGTACTTTTCAATATGCATTGTTCATTATCACATAACACTTGTACACATTTATGGAGTATAATATGATATTTTAATAATGTATATATACAATGTATAAAATCTAATCAAGGTAATTGGCATATCTATCACCCAGATATTTATCATTTCTTTGTTCTGGGAACATTCAAAATGCTCTCGACTAGCTATTTTTAAATACACAAATGTTTTCAACCTTAGTTTCCCTACTGTGCTATATAAACGCTTGAAGTCATTTGTCCCACACACATCTTGTTTCTCGGTGTCCCTCCTGCCTCTCCCCTTCCCAGCCTCTAATAACCACTATCTTCAACTTCTGTGAGGTGAACTTATTAGCTTCCACATGTCTCACACCTTTTAGCTACAGAAATGTGATCTGACATTGTACAGCAGCTCTTATACCTTCATTCCTACGATCTCTCTCCCATTACAACTTGCAAAGACTATTAGCACGCCAATCTTGGCCATTATAATTTTTCCCTATTGGAATATAGCACAGATAAACTAATTCCACACTCCTTAACTATACTTTCTATGACAGCTTTAAGCTCTTCTAAACAACCTCACCATTCTTTCCTTTATTTTTCCTTCATTGTTTTCCCCTTCTCTCTGCTCCACTCATGGCCTCAGGCCAATAGCTCTGTATTCTGCTCCTGGACTCTCACTCTCTTCTAGTTTGGCCTTCAGTTCTCATTCTTTCTAGTGTTCTGATTGCTTGGCTCCTGCTATCTGATTTCCCAAAATTTATGCCACTTTACATTGTAAAATGTAATTAATGAAGAAAACACTTTGCCATAGAGAGTCAGTGTGAAGAAAACGCTCTCCTGTTTTAGGATTGGAAGTTAAAATGCATCTCTGTACCTCTCTATGTATTGTGTGCTACATGCACAGCCGGAATCGATGCATGTGTGTGCATCCATATATAATTACGTGTGTC